GACATCATTCTACAACAATATATTCTGTGCGTTAAGTTATATTTGATGCAAGGAAAATTAATTTAAGGCTGTGATTTTCCACAATATTAACCTTTGAAAAATAAGGTTTCTCTGAGAAGGGAATAAATGCTATTAACACAAACGGACTTTGCAGTGCGAACATCTTTAATTGCTTGCTTAATTAAACCTCTCAACTTCATGTTCATTTATTTGTTTTCTACATGTTTCTGGCCGTGAAAAAGATGTGGGTTAAAGTTAGAACACGCAGCAGTTGGGTTTGCTGGGTGACATAGCCCTCCTGCAGAGCACTCAGCAGAAAATCGTGTCAGGATAACGTCGGCACAAAGTAATGATGGGGCAACGCCGCCGGCCAGAAACACTCACCACATATTTGTGTATTTTTGGCTGCTCCTGCTGCCATTGGTGTCAGTGGGGCACAAACGCAATGGCAACGAGAGCACTTTGTGATACAGATGTGACAACAACAGAAAGCAGTCAGTTTTCTTGCATATCTGATCAGTTTTCAGATTGGGATGGAGCGTAACCCGGAGTTAGATGTGCATAGCTGTGTGCACACGAGCTTTAAGTTAAAATCCATCACATGTCACACTTCCTCAAATAATATTGAACACTTCTGGAGTTGGGTGTGCTTTAACATTTCCATCTGCATGTTTTCCCTGCATAAGTGATGGCACTGAAATCTCCGTGTCTGCTGGTCAGGGTGAATGAGGGAGGATTGACTCAGAAGATGCAGCATTATTTCAATCCTGAGTCCACGGTTTTATTACATCCATCACTTCTAACTTCTGAGAACATATGTTTTAACAGCAAGAAACATCCACGAGCAGCTATTGTTTGCCTTCAGAGAAATCCTTTGTCCTCATTTTAAAATAAGGTTTTGTTTTCTATTTTTTTGCACTCACTATTCCTCTCTCCCCTCTTACAAACCTGCCTCCAATTTTAAGTACAAATTTTGTCTAAATTCTGCACTCAGCTATTGGGAACAAGAGAGCATGAAGATATTTTTACTGAAAAGGAGAAAGCATTGCTTTCACCTCTGTCCTTTGTTCCACAACAGTTGCTTAAATGTAAAATGACGATCCAGTGGCATGAAGCTGTCTGCTCTGCTCAGAGTGAAGCTGCTTTCTTGTTCCCTGACCAAAACTGAAATATCAGCCTGCTGATGATACAAAAGGAATGGTAATTGCCCTTCTGATAATTCTATAATGAAAGACAGCACTGAGTAATTACACATCGCATAGGATAGCACTGCCTCTAGGGAAAAAAAAGAGCTGATCCAAGCCCTCCAAAATCACGGTGATGTTACTCTGAACTCTGCAGGCTGGGTGTCTGAGTGCCCAGTGCTGTGGAGTGAACCCAAAGCCCATCGGCTGCACCGCACTGCGCTGTGCTGCTGCTCATCCCAAAGGGAACAACGGCAGACGGACATCAGGCTTCAGGGTGCGAGGTCTGAAAGCTCCTTCCCTATTTTCTTATTTAATATTGAGCAGGGGAGAGTAAATGCATCTGATGTAGGGGGAAAACTTACCGACGAAAACAGTTAACCTGCATTCTCTGCCGCGCTGCTCAAATTCACCGCTGCGAATACAGGGGCTGCAATACGGGATTTGCATCTTTGCTGAATAGATCATTCTCACCCGAAACCTTTCCGTGTCCACGTGGGCAGCAGCGAAGCCGAGGCCACTAACACGGGTTTACCAACAAACTAGGAAATTCCTAAAACAAACCTCTCTTTCTATCGAGTTATTTCATCACTTTGCTGTCTATCGGTTTCGCTTTGCGTTTCGCTTTCCTCCAGCAGAGACTTTGCTGTTCGTGTTTTTTGGCAGCGCCTTGGTGTCGTTCAGTTCACAGTGCAGCAGTCTTGGTGAGCCATATCTGCAGGCTCGGTGCTGGGCTGTCCCGTCTGTTTGCTGGGGATTTGTAGCTCTGGCTCACAGCTGCTGCACCACTTTTGGGAGCGCGCTGCATCAACACCGACATCAAATCGACCTCTCGACTTTTGAAAATGGAGAGTGCATTTAAATGCATTGAGATTCCTCACTTCTTGATGAAAAAAACATTAAGAGGTGAAGGTTTTAATCTTGCTGCATAGCCCTGAGTTCGGAGCTTAGGGCTGAAAGCTCGCAGTTCCAGTCCTTGCTTTTTTTGCAAAGATTTCTGACAGGACATAATGCAGCCCACAGCGGTATTAATCCCCCTGTAGCCTCTCTAATAGTGACACCTCCCCATACCACCCAAGCTTGACAGCCCCAAAGCTTGCGGCAGGAAGAGATAAGGCAGCCCTCACCCCTCAGAGCCAGCGGAGCCCCTAATTGCCCACATTTATTGCCGTTAGGAAATTTGGGAGAGGGCCTTGCCTGGGTGTTTCCTATGTTTTGCCGAGACAAGGCCCGCTGATTTTAGTGGCTGTGAGATCAGCCCCAAATTCACCATCTCTTACAGCAACAAATCCAAAGGATCTCCTTGCCTTGGGAGAGAGATTTAGGAATCCAGATTTATACGGCGGCAATTAACTGCAAAATTTGGCCCTAAAATCCCACTGATGTAAACAGCGGGGCTGCAGGTCAGCACCAAGCACACAGCCCGGGATTAGCAGCAGCTCACTACTGGAGCAATTATCTCCTGGCAAAGCCAAAAACCGCTCTTGTTAAGCGACCACGGGGCTCTTGCTGCTCTCCCTTCCACCTGTGAAATGCAGGATAATGCCACCAAACCGGGGGACATTTTCCTAGGTTTTGCTGAGAGCAGGTTAGTGAGCAGCGTGTCTTTAGGAATATTTGGAAAATAAATCTTACAGCCTCGGAAGGAGAGTGGAGGCTGAGCAGCGTGGCTGGGGCTGGTGTTTACCAGAAGAGTTAACAAGCCTGGCAATAAAACCCTGGGTAACGATGCCTCTGAAGGGTTACATTAGCTTTGGAATTTACTTTTATAAAAGCATGAAATTTTATGTAGAAACAAGATCTCTAACCACCTATGTAAAAGGGTTTTTAGTACCTTTCAGAAGGATGGGCTGCTGCTACTGCAGGACAGATCCTGTGTTAGGTCTGTAGAATTGGAGCTCAGTGAGTGGTCCACTATTGGTTCTTTCATAAGCTTTGTCTTTGGTGAGCACAAAATATTGTTTTCTTTAATTCATTTCTTATATATATATATTTTTTTTCTGCCAATCTCCCCCGCCAGACTCATTTTTAGCAATTAATGTTGAAAATTCAAGCTGTTTTGCTTCCTTGGTTCAAATATGATTTTAGAAATAATGATATTTCTAAAAAAGCATCAATAATAATAATTTTCTGTTTCTTCTATGTACAACTCCTTGTTTCCACGACTGTCAGTCGGGAGGAGGACTCAGGCGCAGGAGAGGTGTGTGCTCTCCATTTGACTTGTTACAAAGCTGAAACAGCAATGGAGGAAGAATGCTATTATGGAGTCTGCTCAACTTTATGGCAAACCATCAGCTTAATCCAGGACTTTTCACACACAAAAAATGATGCATTGCCTTCAAATACCCCTCTCCATTTCTCAGCACTATTTTGTACCAGAATGCAACAAAAGCCCTGATTTTACCACGGTGGATATCTAGGCATCCATGCATATATCCAGGCAAAAAATCCCCTTAGCAGAGCTACAAGATTTAACTGAGTAAACCTTAAAAAACCGAAGACAAAATTTCTCTTTTTCAATCCCTCAACCAAGAGGGCAATTAACGACGCCGGATAGAACTTAATTAACTTCATTCACGGCAGCGCTGGGAGGCAGCACGGAGGGTAGCGGCTCCGCACGCGGAAGCCCGGCAGTCCGCAGGTCGGTGAGGCTCAGCCCGGAGCTGCTCGCACCATCCGCCGCAATGGAGCAGCGCGGTCCGGAGCAGCGAACGCCTCGTGGCGGCGGCCCGCAGCCGGCGGCGGACTCAGGAACGCGGGGTGCTGCGGGGCCACGGGGCGCTGCGGGGCTGCGGGTGCATTTCTGCGCCTCCATTGCCCGGACCTGGGGCTGCGGCTTTGCAGTCGCCGCCGTTTCTCCTCGTTTCCCGTGATTTTTTTTTTTTTCTTGCATCAGATGCGTGCCTGATGGTTCATGGAATCCCGCGAGCTGCCCGCTCTTGCTTGTGAACGAGGAACTGCATGCGTGCCTGGGCGAGCTGCTTAAATCGGCGGCGTAACGCTAGAATCTATCAGCACATTTCCGTGAGGTGCACTGTGGCCATATTCTTGTTACTATAGGAGCAAAATACACGTAAATATTTAGGTGTATTCATTTCAAGTGCATGTGGCAGCTCTGCAAACACGCAGTGCCCTGAGCCAGGACGCGCTTTCATGCACGGGGAAGGTCCAGGCAGGTGAGCAGCACCACGCATTTCGTGCACGCAATGCAAATGCTGAGTTGCACAATGCTAAGCATGAACTGAAATGTTGGTGAGGCTGGTGTCTGTGCAGGGGGATAATCCTACACAAGCCCCGTCATAAATGTTTGCAGGATCAGGCCTGGAATGATTTGGGAGAAAGTTTCCCTTTTGTTTCTTTTCTGTCTCCAAGTGATAGATGGATTGTAGGAGTCAGTCCCTAAAGATCACGTGCGTTACAGACAACAGCCATAAAACTGTGCCTTACCTACAGGTCTCCGAGCTCAGCGTTTCTGCAGGGCCTGATTTCATGTTTATGTCAGTTGGAGAGCTGTAGCCCTTCCCTCAGCTTTATCACAGAAAGAAATAAGATTTTGGGACGACGGCCTAACTTTTAAACTGCTATTATTAGACAGAAGAGTACTTTTCAGGTCAGGAAAAATACAACAAAGCAAAAATCCTGAAGTAGCCTCAGTTATAATGAAACCTAAAAAGCATGTGAAAGAGATTTCACTACCTGCTCCAGTGGTTATCAGAGCTAAAGCATCTTTTGAGTGGTTCTAGCCATAATTTTGATGGCTCTCTCTTACCTGCCTGTACTTTTTGATAGGAGATAAGTTGGCCTGAGTCATTTGGGCAGTGCAGAGGGTTTCTTCTATGGCATTAGCTTATAGAGCGGCCAGTTCTCTTTGTGTTGTCATTTATTCACTGTTTTGGAAAGAAAAAACAAATATTGGCTGCCCACCAATAATTGTCTGAGAAAACCAGATATACGCTGCAGATTTTGTCTATGTTGCTAGTCCTTATATAAGCAAAACGGGCTGTTTCTTAAACACGGGTATTTGTACTAATCTCAGAAATTCTGCCCTCCATGCCATCCACAAAAAAGACCATTGCCAGACCATGCAGATTTATCCTGCTGGGGAAGTGTGTGCATGAAGAAGGGGAGATGATCCATATGGGCTTCTGATTTTCCTCCCAAGGTTTGCCAGTAGGGAGCAGATAGGAGACGCTATAAATCTTTCAGTGGCACATAGCATCGCTGAGCCCTCAGCTTGTAAATCCTTTATAAATCCTACTGGCCCTCCCAGCTGAGCCATGCCATGCTCTCTCCTACTGACGGTCCTCTTCCTACGTGGGAAGAGGAATCCCACATGGGGTAGGACCTTACAAGGTCTCCCACGGACTGGGACCTGTAAGAGATCCATCCTTGCTGTGATCACTGCAGCCGGGGTTGGTGCACCATCGTGGCCCTCAATTCCCCACGCCGGCTTCAGAGAGAAACCCAACAATGGTGCACTGTATTTAACACCACGTGTGCTGTGGGAAATGGAGAGGAGACAAATGGACTTTATGTTACAACGTAAAGAATGTTACACCCTTTGGTAATACGTAACTAATAACTTAAATCCATTTGAAAACTCTGCTCTCGACTATAGCGCTCACAAACAGAGCCAAAGCTGTAAAAATTCATGAAGGAGTCAGTAGCAGGCTGGCTGGGGTTACAAAGTCTACACAAACTGCTGGGAGTCACAGTTTTCTCCATGAAAGCCACGGCCATCACAAATATACCACACAGATTGCTGTCTAATCCATTCCCAGGAAGCTGCATTGTGTGCGGCTGGGTGAATCTTAATGCTGGTTGAGGTTGGGAGGCAATATGGGTGCATGGGGTACTGCTGGGTGCACTCTGCCAGGCAACAGGGACCCAAAAACGTCCCCAGTGCCCTGGGCCCGGGTTTGCCCCACAGCAGATGATGCAGAGCTGGCAGTTGACTGATGGTGCTGGAAAACAAAAGTAGTGTGTGGAAGAAAAGGGCTCCTTTTCACTTCTGTTTCCTGCGTCAGGCAAAAATGAATGACTAAATGCACCTTTCTCTGATGCTGTCCATCATGTAAATACTGGTGGGCAGAAGTCAATATGAACTTTAAGCATACCTGACACAGGTGGCTCATGCCTTTCAATGCTGAATGGCCACCGGCCAACAATTCACAGCGCAGCATAAAGGAATCCTTGTGGCAAGCAGCCTTCCCTCTGTTTATATTTGTTATGTCAGAATGAAGCTATTCATTGGGGCTGAGATGAAACTGCCCAGGTGAATAACTTCCTGAAACCCGGAGCTCCTGCAGGAGTGCAACCAAAATCAACTGCAAAATGAATGCGGCGTGTGAGTGTGAAAGCTGGGGAAAAAGCACAGGAATTGGAGAGCCAGTGGAGGGCAGATGCATCCCACAGAGGCTGCCCAGGATCTCTCTGCCCTGGCATCCTCACTGCTGTGCCTTTCCCAGGCATTGCTCCAGTTGAGCCATTGCCACAAGGGTTTCTATCTGGTCCTCTGGGCCGTGTTGTTCTGCCAATGGATCGACACCAACATGGACATGGATGGAAAGTAAAAATGAAATGGATGAATGCTATCATATTTCCTGATTTTAGTAGTCAGTCTGTGTTTTGGTTTTTTTTCTCCCAAAACCAGCAATCTAAAATAAAATGTGGGCCATTCTCAGAGGAGTTCAACAGTGCTGCTTTTTTTCCTATGAAGCCATAGCAGCTTATCTCCAGGAAAAAGGGCATAAACCCCATTGGCTGTACTTCATACATCTGCAATGTAAATGCAAGCCTGTGTGTCATTTTTTCCTTCGGATGAAGGCTAACTTATTCCAATATATTTAATCAACAAAAAAAATATGTTGTGCTCTGTCCAAAAAAGGTACGCAGCCTAAATATTTTGGTGTGTAGTCACCAAAATAACTGTAAGGGGAAATTTGCAAACAGTTTGGGAAGTTTCCTTTCAGCTTATGCACGGAGAAATCTTTACATACTATCAGAGCTGGGATTAATTTATCACCAAGCTCAGGAACTGTTCCCAATTGGAATTAGCCACACTAATGTCTGGAGCTGACAGGCACAGCTGCAGCAAGCTCGCTCATGTTTATTATTGCAGTTTTCCTCATCTTTTAACAGTTTGCACACTAATGGAAGAGCAGAAGCTAAAACTGCTCATCTTTGCTCTGCTATTGCAACAAGTCTATTCAGACAATAAAACACCCACAGGGCTGACTTTTGAGCTCCTTCTGGCATCAGGAGTGGGAGAAGAAAATATCTGCACCTTCCCAAATCTTTTCTGAGTGTTCTTTTGGAAAATCTCTGAAAGATTGCATTCAGCATCACATTTCTGTGCTGCTCGATTCCTGTTTTAATGCCTGCTTTGGAAAATAGTGGTCTTTAGCAAAGGGCTGAGGATAGAAGCCTTTGGTGAATGGGAAACACAAGCAGAATTTTTTTAAAAAGGAAATCTGAATTTGGCTGGTATGCATTTCAGGTATTGTGAGTCTTAGAAAGAGGGTATTGCCTGAGGCAGCTGGCAGCAATGGGATATTATGGCACTAAACAATGTTCTATTTTCCTTGATGTCTGTGCAGGATGCAAGTCATTCTGCCTCCAAAAAGGAAACGATCTGACAACATGAAAATGTTATTTATTCAATAAGAAATTGTCATAGATCAAACTGACAGGTTATCAGCTAGTGTGTGTTAAGCATTCCGTGGCCAAGTCCAGACCTTGGGGCTTGCACAGGGGCTGCATCATGGCTGCAGGCAAGCCTGTGCAGAAGCAGCACGGGCACAGGGCCTTGTCTGTGCTGAAGGCTTTGCTGTGGCTTTGGGACTGTGTATCCCCCCCTCCTTCTTTTTTTTTTTTTCCCCATGGAAAGATGGGAGCGGGACAAGCAAGAGGCTCTGACATCTGTCTCACCTGCCACAGAGCTGGGAGGCAGCCAGGACTTGCATCTGGACGGAGAACTTGGAAGCAGTTCCAGGTCCTGTATTTCAGGCAGCATAATAGGTCAGAAATGTGTTTCTATCCCCAAGTTCATTCCGAGCAGCGCATGCACGCTCATTCGGCTGGAGCACAGCCAGCTTACCTATCCGTTTATAGGAGAGCACGGCCGGGGGCACAGCAGCCGAGGAGCAGGTGGTGCTGGAGGCTGCCAGATGTCGCGGCCCCACTGGGCTGGCAGCCCCTTACCCACCCACCAGTACCGTGCGCTGCCTCAAGCCTGGCGGCGGTCCCAGCCCTGATCCCGGCCGCCCTTCCTGGTCTCGTCCTCTGCAGCCTTCTGGGGTTCTGCAGGAGTGGTGGGGAAGAATGGAGTAGAAGAGAGGAAAACATCGCAGAAGGGCAGAAGGGGAATGAGGACCGCTCCATCCTCCATCCTCTGCGTGCTCCTCGCAGCCTTTCTCCCGGGGCTGTTTGCCATGTTTAATCCGTCACAGCTTCACAAGGAAGATGTGCTGTCAGTCTGCCTTCGAATCGCTGCTGCTCCCCCAGGTGGGAAAAACCAGAACTAACGCGGAAGCAGCGCGCAGAGGCGATGCTCTCACCCAGCGCTCCCAGGGTTGACAAAACACTTCCCCACCTGCTCCTTCCGCCGAACGCATCTTGTAGGGCTGCCTGGGCGTGCGTCTGAGCTGCTGATTCAGGCTGATGCTAGATTTGCTCACCGTTTTCCTTTGTGTATCACTGCATCACCACCTGAGAAAACAATGAAATAAGAGTGCTCGTTTGGGAGACGGGGTGGGATAAGAGCTGTCACCTTTGCTTCTCTATTTTGGTTCGTTTCAGACAGGTCATTGCAAATATGTGAGCAGGGTCAGATGGGGACAAATACGTGCAGGGTTCGGCTGTTGCTCTGTGCTCTGACAGGCAGACCTGCTCTGCCTGCTGTGGTGCCAGGCTTTCACCGCCTTGGCTTTTCATGCTTGTCAGAGCCAGAAGCAAGGCACAACCAAATGAGCAAATGAGCAGGGGTTCTTGGTTCTTACATTCCTGCCTACCAGCATCACAAAGCTCTGGAGTGAATTTGCACTGCACCCCCCTGAGCTTTATCAGTAATGAGTGAACATCTCAAAGCGCCATTCCCTCGGTGCCTGTTGGAGGGCAAGCCATGGAGATGGCTGCAGAGGTGGGACAGGAGCTGAGATACCTGGGGCAGGTGTGACCCTCCTGCCTCTATGCTGTGCTGCACTGTGCCAGTTAAAGTCTAATCTGCTGCTGCTGTGCTGCATAGATGGTGGAGGAAGGCTCTGGCCCTTCCCTTTCCTTCCACTTCTCTGCTGTTTTCCTGTAGCTGTTTTCATTTCAGCTGTATGCCAAGTTTGATTCTTCTAGGATTTTTCCAGTGACCTCTAAATCCCTTCACTGGACAATATGATGCACCACTGTTCGGTACAATATCCTCTTGTCTGGTTTGCTGGCCCCAGACTTATTATTTTATGTTTCTGTACATTAAACTGCATTTTCCATTCACTGGCCAGGCAACCGGTGGATTCAAATCCCTCGGTCCTCGTTATTTGCTCCCTCTTCAGTTTTGTGCCCTCTACAAACTTGGATAGTTCGTGGAGGCATTTTCATTCAAGTCGTTTGCAGTTATTACAAATGAGGGAAATCCCTCGGTGTTCTCATTTGTTGAACCTTTACAATACAGGATTACCTTTTCAAAGGAGGATGCAGGGGTTTAGCAGCACGACTAGAGGGTATTAATAGATATCTCCTGGCACAGATCCTCTGGAAGACACAGTTGCTGTCATGTTGAGTCTCCCCTTTGCACAGATGAAAGCTAACCCTAACCCTAACGCTAACGTCCTCAGCTAACATTGCTCTGGAGCATAAGATCAGTGAAAAATGGAGGAAAGAAAAGAGAATCCACGGGCTGCACAAGGCAATGTGGAGAACAGGACCTTCCGACTGTTTATGTGACCTGGTTGTGTGTATCACTATCAGCTTTTAGCCCTGCCTTTCGTCCCCCAGCAGCTATTTCCCTGTCTTGCAGCTGAAAAAAACAATTGGCAGACCCAAAGGCTGCAAAGATAACCAGAACCACGAGTGCAATGTTCTGACCAGAAGCCCAGTGTCCTGCATCCTGCTATGGAGACAGCATGCATCAGGCTCAGGCTGATGGCTCATGGATTTTTACAGCCACCTCAGAACCACAAGAGGAAACAATGATGTCTCCCCATGAACCTTGCAGGTTTTATTAAATGTGTGTTTTGGTTCGAAGCCAAACCATGCTCAGTTATTTATCACTGTTTATTCCTGTCTTTCACAGTCTTTATCAGTTGCTCAAATCAGAGCTGCGAGCTGTGCGAGGGCTGAGTCACACAAATAGTACTTTTATCTTCAGTCAAATCTATAATCAGGCAACCAACCCCCCCATCTCGCTCCCAAGGCTCTTAAAGAAGAAGGGACTTCACAAAGGAAATTTGGTAATTATCCTCTCCATCCCCCAGATCTTGTTTTGGATGATGGATACCTGTGAATGCTTGAAAAGAGCTCAGAGCTGCTGTTTCCCTAATGGAAGACTTCTAGGAAAGTGAACTTTAACTTCTACGCTTCCCTATGAAAAACAGATCCATGTTCGGTTTGATGCCATTTGCCTCAGGATGATCTCAGCTCTTAAAATATGATGGTTTTAGTTGGATTAAGAGCCTATATTGTTGCTGAAGAGAAAGAAGGGTACCTCTTTAATTGCAGCTCAAATCTACCTAACAATTGCCACATGTTGAACAAGATTTAAGAGTTATTAAATATGAAAGCCACTATTGCTCCTCCACCGTGAGCAGCCTTTGTTTTATAAATCTGGAATGCACTAAGAAAGTAGGGGGAAAACATAAAAAACAAAACAAAACAAAAGACTGAAAAATCGAAATCGGAAGATTTGTTTTCTGTAAAGGCTGAGGTTCTTGCAATGCATTTCTTCTGCAGCAGCATCTGTTGCTTTAACTGAAACTGACTCTTGGCAAATCTGCTCACCTTACTGCCATGAAAATTTTGTACAACTTCACGACAGTTGTAAGTTCCCTGCCATCTTTATCTGAGGTTATTTATAAGCAGAGGGTTGAGAGCTCGACCAGAGCCACGGTAAGCAAAGCTCCTCTGATTGGTGCTGAGTGTGGGAGCTGAGGATGCTGGTCTGCTGCATGTGCCCTACAATGAATAGGGACATTTGCAACTATGCCATACTACAGATCTTGACTGTCTTCTTGGCTCCTTGCAGCAAGGTCTCTGGCTCAAGGGGGATTAGACTGGTTCAGTGTTAATGCCATTAGTTTGAGTCACTTGGCTTTGCAAACATGAGGCCAGATCTAAGCCTAGGTACCATTCCCAGAGCAGGCATAAGCCAGCAGGTAGGGCAGATCCTGCCCCCTGCCAGGTCTGGAGGGAGGTTACGTAGTGAGATGCTCAGGTTCCTCACTGTCCCTAAGACAAATGCGGCTGTTCTGGGGAGCTCTCTACTAACTTTGCATCCTCCTGTGCTGTGAGCTACTGTTCTCTGGTTAGGATGCTGATCCCTGTGGTGGCTCATCAGGCTGGATGCCAGAACCCTTCCGTGATGCTGGTCTGGAAGGACCTTCCAAGTGGAGCCACCCCTCCTTCTCCAGCTGTGCTCAAACAGGCTGGGTCATTCAAAGGACTTCTCATGTCCTTGCTCATTACTGCTGCTTTCACATCCTTCTCTCCTTTCAACTTAGGGATTCCTAGGGAGAGAAAAGCTGTTGGGCTGTGGTGCCTTCCTGGGAGCAGCCAGCATGGTACTGAGATGTCAGCTGCAGTACCAAGAAAAACATCTGCTCAACCAGCCAAGACCACTGTGTGCATGGGGGAAAAAAAATCAACAAAAAATCTTAACTGATTTTCAGAGGTCAATAATTAGTTGTGTTTTAAGATGTCAGCCTCCTACTCTCTTTCCATTGTTCCTGACAGCATTTCAGAGAGATCCTTAACTTCTACAGTGGGATCTGGAGTCACGATACCAAAGTTTTCATACAACACATTATCATTATTATTATTACTGTTATTATTATTCTTATTATCTAGGGCTCTATTGAGCAATCTTGGCATCTAAATAGAACACTGTAATTCAGGGTAGAAGCCACTGCAGATCTTTGCTGCCTGGCAGAACTAAGACAAATCTCTCAGGTTACACAGGAAAAGCAATTTTCATTTTCCCTCCTGCTCAGCAAAGTAAAATTCAGCTCCTAATTTTCAGCAAAGAAATCGCAATGGTTGGATTTTTAGCATCTGATTGCAGACCCACACTGTAAATCTGGAGATTCCTACAGAGCTGGGAATCCAGTTTCCTCTTTGGCAAGATGAGGAAAAAGGGAGAGCAATCAGCTCTCAACCATGTGTTTTAAACTTCCCTTTCCCTATGGATATCAGAAGCCATTTGTTTCTCCCGAGGAACTTGTGCTGTCTCAGCATCGCCCCCTGAGGTATCCGTTTGAGCACTACTGCAGGTGTTCACCAGTCTCCAACCAGTCCTTGCCTCCCCGTTGGTGCCACACGTCAGGTCACCTGCTTGTGAAGCTGAGTCCTTGTTGATGGGATGGAAATTTCTAGAGGCTCTTAGAGATGCAAATCTTTTTTCTGCTGCCCGCAATCTCCCCAGTAAATTATGATTTGTGCTTGCAAGCCAAAATGAAACCCCTACATTCTTACAGTAGGTGGAAGGGTTGTTTGGAGTTTGGGACTGTAGTTGGGATTCCCAGGTTCTGCCAGTTCTGCCACGGTGTTTCCTGGCAGAGCAGACGAAGGCTGATTGTGATATTTAAAAATTTCCTTGACCAACAGGAAGAATTTTCAGAACAAAACCAAACCTTTCTTCTCTCATCCATCCCCATGACAAAGCTGGGAATCTGGAAGAAAGATTTTTTGACTATTCCGCACTGGAGAAAGAACAATTTGGGCATTGAGTAAATAAATCAGTTTTCTTGAACTTTCATTTTTGTAGCTCCATCCTTTTCCCTAATATTAAAATAGATCTTCTATATATGTATATATATATATTTGCACTAATAATTGTGTGAACAGAGAATTGGCACTGCTGCTGCTTTTTCTTCTTCTTCCTTTTCTTTGTTAACTTTTAAACTTTTCTTTATTATTAGATTCCAACTTCCAGCTGACCCTTGAATAATTGGTTTTGTTGCAAGGGTTATTTGAGGTCTAAATGAGCCTAATGACATCTGTTTAATTTTAGATGCCTGGAAAATGCTCTAAAATTAATGAAATCCGAATGTATGATAAACCAATACAACAATTTTATTTATTAAAAAGATGGCCAAAAATAATTCTAAACATTTCAAGAAAGCAAAAGAGGTGAATGGGATTTGTCAGTGTTTAAGTTGTACTTATTATATTACATTTCAGTGAAACGCCCTCTTGACCTTCCACAGTTTGGTCGATTTCCTCGT